GTATCTCTGCCCCTGTATGTACCTGTACTTGTGTCCCTATCCCTGTGTGTACCTGTACCCATGTCCCTGTCCCTACATCTACCTGTATCCATGTACCTGTACTTGTGCCTGTATCCCTGTCCCTGTATGTAACTGTACCTGTGTCCCTATCCCTGTATATACCTGTAGCCATGTTCCTGTACCTGTATGAATTTGCACCTGTGTCCCTGTATGTGCCTGTACCTGTACCTGCCCCTGTTTCTGTGTCCCTGTCCCTGTCCCTGTATGTACCCATGTCCATGTCTGTCAGCATGCAGAAAGGTATCTCCTGTGTTGGGTACAGATTAGCTCGCGGCTGCCCCTCTTTGGGCACTGGCAGACACGGTGGTGGTGGGGGGGTATGCTGCCGCCCCCCAGAGGCTGCCATCTGCTTTCTAATGATGCGTAATTAGACGGCGTCTAGCGCGATCAGCAGCAGTCGGCAGTAACGAAGCGTGACTGTATGTGAGTGGGAGAGCTGTGCAGTCCTGGACGGGAGTGGGCTTCACCACTGGGCCGGGCGGGTGAACGCACACATGCACGTGCACACAGTCACACGCACACACGTCCTCACACCCGCAACCACTGGGCTTCCCCCTCTTACCCACCATCGCTGATCCCAAGCCGTCAACACGACGGGCCGTAATACATCACAAAATTCTTGTTCTTCGCTTTTCGCGGCCAGGTGATGCTGGCAACAGGTCAGTGCCCACTTGGAGCCCGCGACGTGCCGGGTGTCTTCACGGCAGCCCGGTCATCGCCCGTCAGGCCCATCAGCCGCCGGAGGAATGCAGATTGCTGCTTGATGAATGATTCCAGCTGCCGTTTAGCTAGATCACAGCGCCACCTTGTTGTAATTCCCTCTCCCCAGTACAACACAAAAGGGAATCCGCTCTAATTATCTGCCATAATCCCCTGATTAACGACTCGTTATGTCTGCCTGCTCCTCCGCCTGGTCTGCGGGGTCTTGGCCGGCCCCGGAGACGGTTGCCGTGTGACGGTCGCCGGGTCTCCCGTAAGGTAGATTTAGGGTGTTATTAATTAGGACTTCAGACACAGGGAGGCGCTCGTCTCGCTGTCACCATGGCGCCCCGGAGTGCCCTCATGGCTCTGTTTGCTGATAACCTGGGATGGGGGGCGTCTAATTAAGCACATGGCTGAGCCCCCCCGCCAAGCCCGTCAGACCGTTCTCCCCTCCTCCCTTCCCTCGTGTCTTTTTTGGCAAGTGGAGTCACTCCTCTTTCTCTGAGTGGTGGCCTTGCCGCCGTGAGGAGACTTCAAAAGTGTCCGTGTGCACCATATGTTTGGGTCGTGTTAGCGGTTTTACCGCCAGACGTGACCCGTCCGCAGGACGCTCCTGGCATGTCTCCCCTCTCGCTGCCCGGGTGATGTGCCTCTTTTCTGACTGGAACATGCTGGAATAGGAAGCGGAGTCGTCATTGCTGTGTGTAAACCCTGCCCTTTTGCGGCTATTTTAAAAGGTGGCGACGTCTCCAGAAGTTTCTGTGTGACCGGGAGGAGCCCAATCACAGGTTTGTCCGCTGGCACTGCAAGGGCTTCGGCCTCATCCCAGAGGACGGCAGATCCGCGCCCCCCCTCCCCCCTCCCCGCAGCTCACTCCCTTCAGCCCACTTTCCTCCTTTCACACCTCACAGATAAACCCCTTTCACGCTCAGAGTCCCTACAGCCCATCAGGTTTGCTTTAATCCTTTCCTGGTGAGATCCTGCTCGCCGTGACGTCCCCCAAAGAGAAGACCATCTGGTCATTGCCCGAGCAGGTCCTGCAGGTAACGGTCGTCCTGAGAGAAGCCAGCGCGGACCGGGCCGGCCTGGCTTTAGGACAGCGACCGTCACACCGCCGCCTGCAAAATACATGATGGTTTTTCAGCTGTGTGACGACAGAGAGCCATGAAATTAATAAGACAGGGAAAGTATTTATTACCTTAGAAATGTAGCCATTGGATTAATAGAGGGAAATGCAGCGTTAAATATAAATGCCGTCTTAAATGGTAATTCTTCATCCTAACATCTTCCATATTTTCTGTATTAATTCTTGATGCTTGTATATATTAACTAAAGCTTACAAGTCATTAAGCGATGAATTAAGGTGATTTTTGTGATATTTGCGAGTATCCAATGCTGTGGTTGTCACTGGTGTCCGTGGAGCTGTCCTTCGCTCACTGTGTATAATGGGGAGGTCGCTTACCAAACCGCATCAAGCTCTGTTCACGTATCACGATGGAATGGTCCCTTCTCCTCTGTTCGCCGTTGTTCTGGAGTGATCAGTGGAAGCTCCACCAAGCCAGCTGATTGCTTGAGGAGGACTGGGTCTCGCTGGCCTCCCATCAGCGACAGGAGGTGCTCTGTAAGCTGTCAGCATCAGTTAGGGAGGTCACCTTGACGCCACTTATCAAAACAGGGCCTCTGTGCCCCTCCTCCCAATACTCAATAGCTTTCCTGTCCTGGTTCTTCAGCATGATCAAGGTGAACATGAGCTGCTCTCAGACCCCTGTGCTTCTTCCAGCCCTCGGAGGTGACCTTCGCTTGCTGTTGTCTCCAGGTTCATCCAGGAGATCGAGCTGAGCATGGGGCCGGGCCAGGCCAAGCAGTGTCAGCTGCGAACCTTCCTCACCTACTACATCAACGACCTCTTCCTCAACCAAGTGCGGACGGAGATCAACAAGGAGATCGAGACCGTGACCAAGGTGTCTGACCCCCTCAAGATCCTGGCCAGCCCAGACACCATGAAGGTGCTCGGTGTGCAGCGCCCCCTGCTGCAGGTAAAGACACTTTGCACCTTTTGGGTTATTTAGCTTCCTAACCTGACGCCAGAGCTTTTGCGATTGTTAGTAACATCGATTTGCTTACGCCTTTTTTTTTTATTGCGTGGTTTTATTATCCGTAACTTTATATGATGATGATGATGATGATGATGATGACACACACACACACACAGTGGTACCTCAGTTCTCAAACTCATTAGAACTCCAATTTCTTAAAAGTCGAACGAACCAGTTCGAAAAAACAATTACCTAGAACTCGATCTGAATCTCAGAAGTCAAACCGTGAACACCGACCAAAGATAACTTGTATGCGCGGGGAAATGAGTCGCGTGGCATGTCTCTCAGCGGAAACAAAGGGTAAAGCTTCAGTAAGGCAGGCAAAACGCAGACGATACAATGACCGGACTGAGGAGACAAACTGAAAAGTGGACTAAATACAAAGGACTAATGACAACAACCAGAAACAGCTGATCACACGGGGATTCCACACGGGGTTAACGAGG